CGAGGAAAGAAGGGTGGGGAGATGTTAAGCGAATGTTTGGCGCCGTGGAGCCTGTCATGTTTGCGCACGTTCACAGGAGCCATCTTTGGTCGTTCACTATGGCAAGGAAACCTTGTTTCGTTTTATTTGACGTCCTTGTTTGATGCATGTTGTGAAGGATGGGGTTTTGAAAAGATATTGTTGAGGTTTTGAGCTCGCGTCCTTGATGTTTGTTGCAAGCTACGCCAGGCTTCCGCCCGGTTTCCGGTTCCATCTTGGCGTCAACGTTCAAATTTTCCCTTGCAACGCACTATATAGGGTTTTTGCGGTTACAATCAAGCTCTGGGTTGGGTCTGGACCGTCTATTACAGTGCGCGGTACCACCTCGGTGCCACTTCATTACGGCTCGGGCCCTTTATTACAATGCGTGGTACCGCCTCGGTATACGGCTCGGGCCCTCTATTACAATGCACGGAAAGGCCTCGGTACCGCTCGGGCCCTCTATTGCAATGCGCGGTACCGCCTCGGTACCGCCTCGGAACCGCTCGGGCCCTCTATTGCAATGCGCGGTAAGGCCTCGGTACCGCTCGGGCCCTCCATTACAGTGCGCGGTACCGCCTCGGTACCGCTCGGGCCCTCTATTACAATGCACGGTACCGACATTCAGATTGCGTTTTACAAAGTTTTAATTGGATCGGAGTGAGGATCTACACAAAGACCAACAGAAAGCCACGAAACGCAACCTTAACATTGTAGTCCCGCCGCTTCTTCAAACGGGGCGCTCCACACTTGCGCCAAGACATTCCAAGTCACTTCGCGCTCAACCATTCTTAACAAATGCTTGGACGTGGGCTTGGCCATTCACGTATCCAAAGATGAATTGCGTTTTCGGCGGAATTTGTGGCCTTCATTTTGGGGTCCAAAAACAGCAAAACCGGTCTCGCCATGGAGGGCCTCCCCAGTTGAACTTGAACTGGGGAGGCCCACTTTGGCGACCCCGGAACCCATTGCGTTTTTGGTCCTTGATTTTGGGGCCGCCAATGGACAAGATGTTCGTTTGCGTCGCGACCCGGTTGTTCTGGCATGGTGACAACAACGCCCAGTGTTTTGGTTGGTCGGTTGCTCGTCGTTTGTTGGTTTGGGTGAACGTGAAAAGGTTGGCTTTGCGTAAGTCTGTTGGATGTTGTTTGGTTCTTGGTTGTAATATTCAATGTCTTCATGATCCCAAGGAAGGGTCTTGTGGTGAAACCAAGCGCGATAGAACCAATAGCGTTCTTGATGGGATCGGCGACAGGCCCATTCCTCGAATGGTTCAGCGACAGGCCAAGCTCCGTGAGTTGAATTGTGAACTTGACGAGCGTAGTCAGTATAGTCCTCGTTGTACTGGTTCTCGGAGCGGGGGATGCTCGTCAAGAGAGCAGGGTCCACAGGAGTTACGAGGTCAGCCGTGTGTTCCTGTTGGGAAAGGCTGTCATCGGGAGGAGCTTGTGTCGGCGAGGAGTCGCCTGAAGGGACACGCACATCTTCTGGTTGAAGGTCCATATTGTCCATATCGAGCCAAGGAAGAGGGAGTGTACCAAGGTAGAACCGAAAGGCTGCGGAAGAATCGAAGAGATAGAAAAGTGGTGGTCAATGTGAAATTCATGGTGATTCATCAACGGTAGGCGGTCCAGGGTTGATTTTTGCGGCAAGTCGAGGGAGTGAGTGTGAATTAAAACAAATTAATTCAAATAAAATTACATTAAGGCTTAGCCTCGGGTAGTCGAAAAGGACGTGTTGGCCGGGGAATCAGAAAAGGGATCTCCTCGCCGTTGAGCTTAACAAGCAGCCCTACCAAAGGTCGCTCTGTATTTGGAGTAGAGTCAATCGCTGGGGAGCTAGTCGCCATAGAGGTAATCGTACTCGATGAAGGCGAGGAAGTAGAGGTAGTCCGTAATGAGGTAGGAGGTGTTGTCGGACGAGCTTTCTTGGGGAAGGTGGTGGAGACGAGGATAGGTTCATCAGAGTCCCGCAGGTGTGAGGCCATGGAAGGTCGAGAGCGTTTGGTAACTGTCGCAGGTGGATTGGACATAGGTCGCTTGAAAAGTGTGAGAGTAGAATCGGTGAGACGAAATTTGGGCCGAAGGCTGAGTTGTAAGAAAATATAAAGGAACCAGGTGCATCAGAAAGGCGATCAAACTGAGTATGAAACAAAATTCGACAAAGTGAAAGTGAAAAGGCGACGGCCGTTTTCCGTGAGTGAGTGGGTCCAAAAATCATCGGCGAAGATCATGATGTAGCCAGTCGTTGTAGTTCAAGAAGTTCGGCCCACCAAGCGCGGATCTGAGACTCTGGGCGCTGCATTTTGGTGGTGATGTAGCGCCAGCTAGGTCGAAGTCGTTCGTTGCATTTGAGGCTGAGAAGGAGATCATCGTCTTTGGTGCTCCAATCGTCGTCCCAAGAAGTGTCTGAGTGGTGCTGAGGGGAGGGAGAGGGGGAGGGAGAGGGGGAAAGGGAGCGGCGTTTGCGGGGCCGAGAGGGTAGGGGGCCGTGTGGGGCAGAGGAAACGAGGGAGCAGGAGATGGAAGGGGAGGGGGGAGGAGGAGCCGGAGAGGAGGGCGGTGGGTAAGCGAAGTCAGGAGGGGAAAGAACGGGTGAAGGAGGAAAGGAGAGTGGGGGAGGGGAAGAGGGAGTGGCCCCATCAGCGACAGGAAGAGAAGGTGAGGGGACCTCCATAGGAGCGGGGCCATTAGGGTCACTCCTCAATGAATTTTGCACCAACTTCAAATAGGAATCGCCGCTCCAGACACGAGAGTTCTTATCCATGAGGATCAGCTTTTCTTTGAGGCCTTCATAGGTGATGCTGTCATCCATGGTCAACTCCAAATGCCTCCTCAAGTTCGGTTCGATGCACCGAAGGACCGTAGAGACCACAAGGTCGTCGGGCATTGGATGTCCTGATGCCAGTCGATACTGATCCAATAGAAGGTCCATCTGGATGGCTCATGATTGCTTGCCCGATTGCCATGGTGCGAGGACGAGCCTTTGGCATGTACAAATTACGAAGTTGCTGCCAAACAAGGAATCCATTCTTCTCTGCGGACTCTGCACGCACCAACTGCAATGCCGGGCCCTTGATATAGGAGGCAAGGATGGAGTAAAGGCGTGTAGCCAACTCACGGACTTCTGGCGTGGCAAAGTCGGAGAGCTTGCATGGTTCATCAAGAGCTTCAACATCTCTCAAGAGGTCTGTGAAGCGATGGTCTCCATATGAAAGCCAATTCACAAAGGTCTCCCTCCAGGACACATACTTGAGAGGATCATCGCCTTCCAACGAGTCAGGAGCCTTCAACACTTTACTGGCTTCTCCAAAGTTGCCACTCTCCTTCTTCTTCTCCATCTTCTCCAAAACTGAGGCCGAGGCTTTTGCGGCATTGGTCGCAGCTTCAGTCATCTGCAGCATTTGATTCATCATCTGGGCCGCTTGTCCGGCATCCATAGCTTGTGCTGCAGTCCAACAACCAAGAAACAGCAAACTTCTCAAACGTAGCCTGCATTCAAAGCGCTGCCTCAGCCGGCCGTTCCATTTCCTCTTTCTCAAGCTCAAGTGGCCCATATCTGGTCTTCTTCGACACTTGCATTGGGTCATCCGCTTCCTCAGGACCATCCAAAGGCTAACTCCAAGCAGGACGAGCACACCACTCAGCCACAGTCCAACCTTCTGGTACCTCACATTCTCCATAATCTCGGTCATGTCAATGTCCTCGATGAAGACCTGCAAGTGGCTCCATATGATCAAAAGGATCAAGGGCATAGCGGAAGTGAAGGTGCCTTTCACAAAGTCCAGAGCCTCAATGATGGTCAGGTTGAAGTTCCACCCATAGTACTCGTCAATCTCACAATCTGGGCTCCAATCCCAAACGAGCTGCCAGAGCTCGATTCCGTTCTTCACTTGATCATCCAAGGTCAGTTGACCATTCCCAGCATCAAGGGTCCAATCCTCGATTTGCTCAGGGAATACCTGCCATCCATCTTCATTGCTAGCATTGATGTTCGTGGGCTCTTCCAAGCATGCCAGACTGGTCCCAATCCAGCCATCCTTCAACTTCTCAAACCTGGTGGTTCCGATCCACCTCATAGCTGCCCCAAAGCACTGCCCAAGGGTCCAATCCTCAGGCATTGTCAGCCTATCATCCTTGGCCGCCACCTGCTCGGTCTGCACCTGCTCGTAGTCGATGGTGTCGTTCACCTGCACGAAGGGGATGTCGTCCTGACGCTCAACACACGGGCTCATCTTCGACAAAAGGAGGATCGCCATGATCACCAAACGACATGGCATGGATCGGCCCGGTGGAGCTGGAGCTAGCGCTTTGGCTAGCTCCGCTACCATGAAAAACAGCGGAACGCCCTTTTCTCTGCGAGAACCTTGGGCCACTAAAGGCCAGTCGTGACAGGTGCACTTGGTGGAAACACTTGACAGGAAAGCTGAGAGGCCACCGCATCGACTCAAGTCACCATCAGGTCAGAGTGAATGAGCCTCACTTTGAAGATGCAGGCAAATGCAGGAGCTGTTGAGGCTTTTACTTTTGGAGTGCGTAGTTTTGCATTTCGAGTGCTGGAGCAAGTAGCGTTCTTTGAAGGAACTTCGTGTGTAGAAATGTTTTGAGAGCTTTGTAGAACAGAGGTCTTTGTAGTTTTTGTGTGTGAATGTGTCTTGAACAATGTTGAGCATGTTTGAATGCGTTTAAGCTCGACATTTTTCAGTGTCTCGCATGGGAATGGCTTGTACGCAGGAATACCTCACAGCCTTTGGTGGACAGACTGCGACTGCGGGAAAGAACTGGAAGGTACAATTGACATTTTGCAAGTTTAATCACATCATTTGACATGGATTGTGATTGTCGGGATCTGGGACTGTACAATAATTTGTTATGTTTATTTACGTCCCCATTCTTTCGTTGGTTGCTATTTCATTTTTTGTTGCTTTGGGCAGCTACAGTGTTATGCTGTGAACGTCAGCCGCAGAGCGAACGAGAGGGATACAATGAGTCACGGTGACACGGAAACTGAGCAGAACAAACATGGTGGAACTGGGATGGTTGTGGCTGTCGGCAATGGAATCTTCAGTGCTACTGAGACATTCACAAAGATTGATTGTAAACCCCGATGTTTCGTCACAGCATGCTTTGACCAACATCTTCGCTATGCTTCCGGTCAAGGCGTGGGAACTTTCTGGTGTTGGTGTGGTTCGATGCCTTCACATTCAGATCTGCAATTTTGATGCGTTGGCCCACCGTGAGCATGGGCTGACGAGCACCTTCGCATTGTTTTGTCATTTTCCTTTAGGAGTTCTTTTTTTCATCCGCTAAATTTTTGGTCATTCTACAAATTTCTACATGTCATGGTGAAAATTTCCAATGTTTCAATCGAGTCGGGATGAACATTGGCCCCAAATCTTTCGGATTGCCAGCCCAGTCTACTCCCTTCTTCTTCAGCACTGTCGGTTGTGACTGTCCACAACTAATTCTTCACACACCCGAAGGGCCGTAGACAACCTCTGACCCTATCAGATCCGAAGACCTTGATGGCCTCTAAAATCGAGACCTTGGACTCCCCAAGATCTTCCGAAGACCTGTCACCCAGAAGAAGTCCGGATGTCTGGTTTGCAGGAAAACGGCAAAAAGAGAAACAACTGAGGTTCTTATTGACTTGACAGAAGTGAAACACTTGAATGCGGACATCATCCCAGCAAAGGGGAGATCAACCCTGTGGGTCCTCTGAATCCTTGTTTTTTTGAGACGACTTGGAGGTGGACTCATGAGTCCTCGAACGAAACGCCGTTGGACCTCGTCCCGATGGCTTTTGTTGCACGCATGGGAGGTTGAACACCATGGTTTGACCCGAGCCATCAAGAATCGCTTCAGATGTTTTGGACAAATCGCCAGGACTGCAGGACCTGCTTTGAACACCATAATTAAGCAATGTGTTTTTGTCCCGAGCTGAAGTGCCCCAACAACGGAAAGACCTGCGGGACACGTCCAGCGGAGAGATCCACCAAATGGGATCGGGCCAGCGCACCGCCAGGCCGAGAAAGCCGCTGAGCCACCGCACCTTGGCGTTGGATGATGGGGTCACGTCCTGGAATGAGACGCTCTGGTTTGGGACTCGGAGTGAGTTTAATCAGAAGTGTTTTGGATGTTTCTGTGACAACTTTAATAGGTTCCATTCACAATGACAATGATGATGTTTTTTTTCATGAATCCCTCGGTGTTTGGCCCATCTCCTTTTGGAGTTCGGTCTTTGCCGATCGGCCTGGGTGCAGCTTCCGCCGGCCGAGGCCGGTGCAGCTTCACGAGGCTCGCCGCTTTCGCGTGGACACGGAACGGTTTCTCGGTGTGAGCCGCGAACTGTTTCGGCGGAGAAAAGGGGAGGAAAAGGGGATGTTTTTTTCATTTTTGGAAGGCTCAAGTCTTTTGCGTCTTTGGTTCGGAAAGATTTCAGGGCCTCCTTTTTGGGGTGGTGTTTTCCTTGGATCCTGGACTGTTGCTTTCCGTTTCCCGTTGTGATGAAAGGATTTGAACGAACCCCCTGCAGTATATTCGGGCTGAGGAGGATTCAGCTATCGCACGTTGCCGTATCACCCTCCCAGCGCACTCAGTGGACTTTGATTCGACGCAGATGTGATACGCAAGAGATGCGGCCAACTGACAGGTAAGCTGATGTAAGCTGACACGTCCCCAACGATTTGCTGCCCCTTTCAGCTAGACAGTTGTCGTGTTTACATGTGTTTACTAGTCCCTTGTGACACTTGGGTAGATTTTTTGGGCCTGAAAGAGGAACAAGGCCTGCCAACTCCAAACAGACATGGCATGTTTCGAGTCTTTCCGGAGAAGAACGCAGACAAGTACTTACCGTTCGGTGGATGGTCCAGTCAGCGAGGAGTTGATGCACCCAATCAGAATCACCCCTGGACATCTTCACAAGTCCATTTCAATTAATTCCTATTTGCATGTCCTTATGTTAGTTACGCTTAGTTTCAAGACTAGGCTAAGAACAGAAGCGGATCAGGTCTTGAACGAAGTTTCTTGTGCCAAGGGAAGCCTTCCTGCAGCACTTGGAAGAAGAGGGATATGCCGTGGCCTGGAGCACGAGCCGGGAGGGCCAGGTGGTAAAACCGCCCATTCCCAGCCGTCGAGTGAGTCATCAGACTTTGGTGCAAGGGTTGAAAATGCTGGAGACATGGTGGACATGTTTGTCCGGATAAAGCTGGGGAATCAAATGCACTCGATTGAATGCTATTGGCCCTTTGCTGAGTCAACTGGCAACACAGGAACTTTTACTTTTTCTCTTCCATGTGTTTCAGGCGTCTGATTCTGGAGCATGAGATGTTTTTTTGATGAGAACAGAACATGATTTAATTTACCAAAGACTTCTCGCTGTAAACGAGCTGCACTTACGGATCCTCTCAACTCAGCGTCGGGGACCTCGGTCTAGCCCAGGTGGTGGCGGATGTGCTGAGTGAGCAGGACATCGGCCACGCACGCTCATTGCTGTGGGATTTCTTGGAGGCGCTGTGGAATTTCTTGGGAGGGCTGGAGGCGCGTGGCGCTTAAATGGCTTCGTGTGGCGCATCTCCGGTTCTGGGGAAGGAGTTTCGCAGTCCCAGCCGCGCAGGCGTTGCCGCAGACTCGGGTCCGGAGGGATGACGTGAAGAGCTGGGGATGCAAGCTTCTTGGTCGACAAGCTTGTTGGTTCTTTTTGGGACTGGGCAGACAGAAACAACGCATATTGACATATGGGGCAGACGGTGAACTTGGTGGCAGACAGAAGGTACATTATGGAGTCATACTTTCTTTTGACAGTAAACACCAGGTACTGAGCCATCCGGAAATGTGACGGCTTTTAGTTTTGCAAGTATGGAGACATGCAGTTCTCAAGCATCTAGGCATACGACATATGTGAGTGACAGCTGCATATTGTAAATGGCCAGCGATGTAAGTGCGAGGAGACTGCACACTCTCCATTTTGACCACAGATCTATACACGTGGTTTGTTGGCTGTTTGTGTGTTTCTGCATCAATCGTTCGGTGGAGTTTGACATTTGGTCCACGAACCGGACACGGGGTTTCGATTTGAATCAATGGTTTCTGAGTCCGACTTCGGTCCAGATCATGCGTACCCGGCAACTTACAAGAAATCACCGAACTCGGCACCATACTCAAACCCGAGGTCGCTCTCAGAAATGCTCAATCCAAAAGCTAGAAAGGTTAGCAGCAAAGTCAGCTCCAGGCAGAACAGTAGAATCACCTCCCTCCCTGCACCAGCACTCACTGTCCGCAGGCCCCAACACCCGCCCCAACACCGCCCGGCCGGATCGGACGTGGGGGTTTTCACGCGACCGATCAGGCGCGACTGGCTTCCAGATGAGCGCAACGGGATCCTGAACGGCTTTGGCTTTGGGCAGAGCGACTTCATGTGGTTCTTGCGGTTGCGGCCCAAAGTGAAGGTGCGGTGGTTTGATCTGAGGCGTTGCAGTGAAGGTACACCGGTTTGGGGTCAGAAAAAAGGGAAGTGCAGATCAGGTGAGGAGGTCACTCTGTTGACTGTAGGTCACTCGTGGCCACTTGCCCTGCATCCGGAGGATTCGCAGCGCATCGGAAGTGACTTCATCCAAGTTTCTGTGACATCAAGGTACTGCCAGTGCGGCATTCATGATTTGCTCCTCCTTTTCGTACCACTGTGGAGCTCCCAGAATCGCGATGCTATTTCCGTCGCCATGCAAAAGCAGGGGAACGAGACAAAATACCGTGACTGCTTCCACCAATGATGGGAACGGTGCATCCAAGAAAGTGATCGCTTTTTCAGGGCGACGATGATCTCAAAAACAGCTGGATCCACAGTGAGACTCATTGTTGAGAAGTACTCTTTGGATGCCATGCCTACCCCATGCAACTGCTACTTCATTTGTTTGTGTTTTGTTCGTTCTCCTTCTCCTTCAACTACATATACTTTCGTGGGCAAGTCGTCCTCCAAATGCCTAGCTTTACAACTGCAGGACCTGGAGGCCATCCCTAGTAGGTAGGAGTAGCGAAGCCGAGTTGTCGCAGGACGCGTTTGCAGCGGTTTGGAGCACCAACGACTTGTTGGTCTCCTTCGATGGGGGCAACGTCTTTCGGCCATGGCGCTTTGACCCAGCCTGGCGCACACTGGGAGGCGATACATGTTCGCAAGGAGTGGTTAAGTTTAGAGGGAGGAGCTGAAGAGGGGGATTGTGTCTTGAAACAACATATTTTCAGCATATAGAACCAAAGTTTCTCGAACCAGGAGAGTTAGGGCATAGACATAGAATATTAGGGCTTTGGACTCACACACGAGTTGAGAAGACTGGCTGTGCTCAGAATATGTTTGGAAGAGTACAGAGTACATGGACAATGGACAGCCTATTTAAAGTCGCTGCTTGGAAGTTAGAAGGTTTGATTTCACACTACCAGCAAAATACCTTGAATCAACACTTGTCGATTGAAACCGGGATTCACCGTGGGACCATCTTGGTGTGTGGACACTTCAGAGCGGCGGTTTGGTGTCTAAAACGTGTACTGCAAAGCTGCCTTGTCCCTGGTATCAAGAGCGCACCGATGCTTTTGATTGAGATTGATCCATCCAGTAGCCGTTGCTTTTCAGATGGCCACCTTGCCCTCAACTTGGTCTTCACAACCATTTTCTCATGGATCAATTACACCACCGTAGACCCCAAACAGTTTGTGTTTTT